TCAAGTTTCCTGAAAACAGTTTCGTATTTAGTAGAAATTCGATTACAAGTTTTCAATGTAGTTTTGCACGTGAGATTATTATTCGAGGATACCACACTGTACAGAGTGGTCCACGCAGCTTGTTCACCCTGAATAACTTCTAAAGTATACATTGCATGAAAAACCTTTTTATGCAAAAGTTGTATGGTTTGGAGGGATACGTTATGTGATGCATATATTGTTTTTGTAAGTGGAGGCGTTTCGGAAATTTGAAGGTCAACTTCGGTTTTTTAAATGGAATGCTATATTTTTTATGCCAAAATATCCAAGAGCGTTAAATTTTAAGTAAAAAAGTACTGACCTTTATTAGCCGTAAACCTAATAACTAACGAATAATTTCACTTTGTTTCTTGAAAATGGTCTGTGCGTGATATCAAGTTGATTGATGATAACTTCTCAAGACTGATTAACACTGATGATAACTTCAATACTGAATCACGGACAGAATAGGCGATTACGATTCTATACGCAGAATCGGTCACGTTGATAAACATTGTCATGTAAACATTGCGGTCTTACGGAAATCTTTGTTGGTATTGAATTTCCAACTTGATATTACGCACAGACTATTTTCAAGAGACAAAGTGAAATTATTCGTTAATTATTAGGTTTACGGCTAATAAAGGTCAGTACTATATTACTCAAAATTTAACGCTCTTCGATATTTTGGCATAAAAAATATAGTATTCCATTTAAAAAAGCAAAGTTGACCTTCAAATCTCCGAAACGTTTCCACTTACAAAAAAAATATATGCATTGCATAATGTATTCCTTCAAACCATTCAACTTTTCTCCAAAACGTTTTTTCATACAATGCATACTTTAAAAGTTATTCAGGGTGAACAAGTTGCGTGGACCACCCTGTATATCTGAATATGTATCGGTTCGCTTTACTGTTGCGGGGACGAGGGTCCTTGTACCTGTGCGACGGGTTCCGTCTTGAATCATTCGAAATGGCGAAGGCGCCAGGAATAGAGATAGAAAAGGAGGAAAAAAGAAAATAAAGGGGACTGACAGTGAGAATGTCTCGAACGGTTTACGATGCGTCAGGGTGTGGTGCTGTTCATCGCGAGACTTTGAAACGGCTTCGTTCTCACGGCTAAAGGGATTCCCTTTTTGTTCCTTTTTCACAGTGTATCCACGCATCAAGGATGAAATTATATTTAGGATGTAAATGGAAAAACGAGAAAATTTAACGGCGTTTATCATTAATTTCGTAATTATTACTCTCATTATGGTACACGATAAAAATAAGCTGACGATCAGTGTAATCACTAGCTATTAATACTTGGTTTCAAAACGTTGACCGTTCCTCACAATTAAATTTATAACTGTACGAAGTTCACTTTGTTTCGGTTTCATCTAATGAATTGATAATTCTTCGGATCAGTTCATCATGCATATTAATTCGTTTTTTTTTGTTTATTACTTTTCAATGAAACTTCAAACGACCTACATTTATATAACATTTTTCATCGATTTCTACCCATACACCATATTGGAGAAGCTCGGCTGGACAAACCAGAGACATCTTGAATCCAGTATATTGGAACCACTAAGGTCCATCCTAATGTCCCTATTTCTAATCACGTCCCGATTTCTGCTCAGTACATATATTTCTTATTTAATTGAAAAAGTTAAATAATAAATTGGTTAAAGAAAACATTATTTAAATTGCTTTAGTATTTCCGTACAAAATGCTGCAGCTGGCTGTTCCATAAATGGCAGCATTTCAATAGAAATAAATTTAATAAGTGTGCCGTCGTGAAGAAACGTGATTTGAGCGGTTCCGTAGTGATCGTGAATTACACGCGGACGCGTTTTTACTAAAAAAAAAACTTACGGAATCTTTAATATTGTTCGCCAAAGTTTGGTTTTGGCACTTCCATTTTTCGCTGAGCAGAAGTAGGGACATTTTATACTTCATATTAAATTAACTATGATTAACTTAAAATGTATTTAGAAATACTTTTATTTAAATTTAATTATAAAGAGAGGTTTAGATTTTATATCTAATAAGTTTTTTTGCCGATTGTTGCATAAATAAATAATAGAAATCAATTTCTGCGATAGCAGAACTCATACATGATTAGAAATAGGGACATTGACCTTGGTATTTTAAACAAACTCGTTAAACGTCTTCGTGTCAACTTGTAAATATGTCAGTTTTTCAGTCCTTAACGACCGAACAATACTATGCTGTTCTGGTGTCATGGATTTTTTGTCGATAATAAGCGTCAGTTTAATTTTCCAATTTCTGTTGCGTGACGCTTGTTAAACGAAATTCAAGTGGAATGAAATGAAATTGCAAAAGAAACAGACTGTCGCGTCTTGACGCGCCAACTAACCTATATCGGCTTGATGCGCTAAATGCTGTTTTATGGTTGTGCTCAGTAAATGCAATCATCCGATAAAAAGGAGACAATATATCTCGACGTCCGCGTGAACGCTTCTTTAACGTTAACTAAGTATGAATTTTACAGATCGCGTTGATGTTATCGTGCCCACTACAGAAGTTGCATTATATGCACGCGATCGTTTCTAATTATATTTATGAAGATTTAATAAATTTCAGTCCAACTACAGTGACTCTCACACTCGTTTATACAGGGTTGGTCCACGGAACTTGTTCATCCTGAATAACTTCTAAAGTATGCATTGTATAAAAAAACTTTTTATAAAAAAGTTGTATGGTTTGAAGGGATACATTGTGTAATGCCTATATTTTTTTTGTAAGTGGAGACGTTTCGGAGATTTGAAGGTCAACCTTGCTTTTTTAAATGGAATGCTATATTTTTTATGCCAAAATATCGAAGAGCGTTAAATTTTGAGTAATATAGTACTGACCTTTGTTAACTCTAAACCTAATAATTAACGAATAATCTCACTTTGTTTCTTGAAAATGGTCTGTGCGTAATATCAAGTTGGAAATTCAATACCAGCAAAGATTTCCGTAAGACCGCGGAGTTTCCGTGACAATGTTTATTAACGTGACCGATTCTGCGTTTGAAATCGTACTCTACTATTCTGTCTGTGATTCAGTATTGAAATGATCATCAGTGTTGATCAGTCTTGAGAAGTTATCATCAACAAACATGATATTACGCACAGATCATTTTCAAGATACAAAGTAAAATTATTCGTTAATTATTAGGTTTACGGCTAATAAAGGTCAGTACTTTTTTACTTAAAATTTAACGGTCTTCGATATTTTGGCATAAAAAATATAGCATTCCACTTAAAAAAACGAAGTTGACCTTCAAATCTTCAAAACGCCTCGACTTACAAAAAAAATTTATGCATTACATAATGTATCCCTCCAAACCATACAACTTTTCGATAAAAAGTTTTTTATATGCTTGACTATTGTTTAGAATTTTCTACCAATAGAATAGGAGCTATAGAACAATAACAAGACAATGATGTTTTTTCCTGTTATTACTCTTTTGGTTAAGTTAGAGCAGCTCTGGGCAGCGTAGGGGTACCTCACGCGCCTGTTTCCCCGTTCAACCTTTCTTTCGCACCGTGTGTCTTCGTAGAAACAAAGAAGCCCATACTCTTGTCTATGTCACTCCATGATAACGATGGACGGTGGTGAGGACAAGTTTTAGCTCCTGGGAGCTAACTTTGCCCATCACTGAGTTAGAGGGTTGCAACTTGGCACAAATTATTGTCTCATGATAAATATGTTGTAAGAGCAGATTTCTGGATTCACTTTTGATTATCTTATTCCAGCTGTCCCCATTTTTCATGTACCAAAAACATCGCGTTGAAGTGGACGTATTCAGAAAATTAGGTAGACGTGTTAGTACTGAAATTAAAATTCATATCTCTTTCGGTGGTTCCGAAATGTATTTGACTTTATAAGTGGAATGTACCATTACAGGAGACTTAAGTATGTGAAGGGGCTGGTGCAACGTATGTAGACTAGCAAATTGTGCATGCTTCGAAGGCGCCAATACTTTTGGCGAAATAGGGCACACGTACGATTGCAGTAAGGCAGACGATCCGTAAAGAATAGGAAGAGGTGGATGAAAAGTAGAATGAGGGCAAAAGGACCTATTGAAACGAGCCAAGACCTATTGAGGGTTCTGTTAGCCCCGTTCCATTTATCCATCCGTGACCCCTGCGACATACAGGGTGTCCCAAAATAGCTTCGACCCCCGGAAATGAGGGGTTCCTGGGGTGATTTGAAACAACTTTTTCCTTAGCAAAAATGTAATCCGAGGCTTTGTTAACGAGATATTAAGGAAAAACCCCGACCAATTAGAGCGCGAGTCTGCTGGCCGAGCTTCCGCGATAGCGTTGGCTACCAATCGCAGTACGCAGCCAACGCAATCGCGGAAGCTCGGCCAGCAGACTCGCGCTCTAATTGGTCCGGGTTTTTCGTTAATATCTCGTTAACAAAGCCTCGGATTACATTTTTTCCAAGGAAAAATTTGTTTTAAATCAGCCCAGCAACCCCTGATTTTGCGGGAGTCGAAGCTATTTTGTGACACCCTGTATATACGAATCTATCGTATTTTATCGAACAATCCTCGTCGCATCGAAATTGTACAAGGCGCCGAGTCGCGAGACGTCCTCCTCACGTTTTTAGGTCATGGCAAATTGAGCCATGGAAAAGACCGTCCAACGATTATTGAATACGTTTTTCGTCGCTAAATCGAACAATTTAACGTTTCACGATCTAGTCTACCCCATAAATGTGTCTACGTGTGTTCCACGAAAATAGAAAACTGTCTTTGCAGAACTGTGATAGGATATCGTAATATAATTTTTGGAAAGCAATACGTTTAATGTATGTAGTGTCTTAGTCGAATTATAATTTACTGGCATTCTGTTGGCATTATAATATAGTTATTGCTGAATACTGAACCGACACTATTGCACACGTACTTAGAGTATTTCTTGTATAGTATTTAAATTTTTTGCGGAAGTTTTAAATGTTAATTCTTTTTCAGCAGCGTGCAATGGCTTGTGCTGCAACCGAGAAACCGAAGAACAGTTGAGACATCAAGCCCAGGCAGATTTTTACGACTTGATCCATCACCATAGCAGAAGTTTGCAAGGTCTTTTAGCAACAACAGCGGATGCACTGAGAGGTAAGGCTAATTGTATGTACACGGAACAAAAAAATTGAGCTTGTTTGATCATTTCGCTGTGAAACAAAATGGTAACGAATGATACCTCATGATAAGCACTGTATAAAATAATCCGAAGTTCTTTGTACCTACTTGGGTTACGCGTGCGCATTAAAAATTAGAAGAACTTTATAAGATTAGTGTCTCGGGATTTGTGCTCAGCATTTATATATACAATTGCTATTTTAGGGAAATGTTAGATTATGAAAGATTGAAAACTACGTTATACAATTACATTCTAATTCAATTACACTAATGATTACAGTAATTAGCAATTGAATTAATTGAAAAGTTTTAATTATATAGTTTGAGTATACAACGTAATTTAGCTAGTGTATCTCATTTTATTTCCGAATTAAATTTTTTTTAATAAATCGTTGATTGGCAATACTATTTCCTTTTATATAGTAAGCAATATTATGGTCTGCTTTTCAAAAGAAGAGCCCTCGGGGGTTGACCTGCCTCGGCGCGTGGCGTGCTGGGGATCCAACGCGTGCTTCGTATTTCGTGCAACGTTGTCACGGTCTCAATGCCACTGTGTGTCTCTTTCCATCCTCCGGCACTTCGGCACGAGAGCCTCTAGCTCAGACGCTCGGTAAACCAACTTCCTTCTTTACCCTACGATTTCCACGTGTAGCGTTTAATAACCTACGTATTAATTTAATCCCCTTTTAATATGATGCTCAATATTTGGGTACAATACATTCTTTCAAAAGAAATAAACTTTTTCTTATTCATGTATTTTAACTCTTGACGTGTGAAAACGTTCGAAGTGTGAAAACGTTCAGCGTCTCGTCAACATTCTCCGCCATTTCCAGACAATGGATGATTGACGGGTGCGTGCCGAACGCAGTCCCCACTACTTGAGATTGTAGGTACGTTCTTCTCGAGAGGTTTGTAATACGTGCGATGGAGATAGACGACCGTAGACGAGGACGCACGTCAACAGTCGAATGTCATTGGTCAAAACGCGAAGTGTGAGAGAGACACAAGCGCCGAAGACGTGTCGCGATCGCGACAACACCGCGAAAATTCGGGCCTACCTTCCAGGGCTCTTCTTTCGAAAAACAGACCATAGGTGAAGTAGGTACACGTTCAATTTTTTATATATGTTTGAACTTGGAAAGAAATATAACAGAAGATTATTACTGTTCAAATGCCACGAATTTATGAATAATATCATATTCATCGATGATAATAATATTTTCTGATTGCAAGCTTCACGTGTATTTTACCTTTGTCATACCGTATATTTATATTGTCGATATTAATAAGGGATGCGATGCAAGTGAATGTATGAGTGAGAAGAATGTAAACCGAAAAGCGACAGGTCCAATGAATTAATTAAAAAAGTAGTATAAGGAACATAAATGTTACGTCTTTATTTTTTTTATGTGAGCATTGCCTTGGTCTTACTATCGAAATACGTTTTTAGCTTATGTATTTTTTACATACAATATCTTACGTAACCGATGCCTCAGTTGATAAAATTTTGTTCTTCATTTTTTAATTATTTTTTTTCATAGTAGGTCACACCCTGTCGGATAGTAATACACTTTGCGGGATACCGTGTATATCTTCCTGATATTACCAATTTTGTCCAATTTTAGTAGCACTTATTGATTCTTCGAAAGTTAGCCTCGCAGAATTCAATGAGAAGCATTCGGGGTTCTGTCATAGTAAACGTGTTAAGCTGCGTCTACACTATATAACATAACATGTTAGGTCTGGGTTACTGTGGTTTTTCGTGTTATATAGCAAATTATATATTATCCATCTAGTGTGACGCAATTATTAATAATGAAACGCGAAATGTTATACAATCTTGTTACAGACTCGTCTGAAAGGTATAGTCTTGTAACAAGTTATAAAAACATGTTGTATAGCAAGGTTATACAACAATTTGTTGTATAACACAGTTTTGCTATGCAGGGTGAGTCACCTAACGTTTGCACCTCAAATACCTTTATTGTTTTTAAAGAATGGTTCAATGGGACTCACTGGATACCAAACAAATTTTTATTTTTGTCACTTTTTTTCGGAGATAGGTATCAAGGTCACCTTAATTTTTTTTAAATGGAATCACCCTTTCTTACACACCTACAATGATAGTCCCTTTCATTAGGAATTCAGTGACTATAATTATTCAAGGTCATTCAGAGTCACGGAAAAAAGGGTGGTTCCATTAAAAAAAATTAAAGTGACCTCGATGTCTCTAAAAAAAAAAAATGACATAACGAAAATTTGTTTGGCATCGTGTGAGCTTTATTGGAACATTAAACTTTGCCCTCAAGACATTTGACGTATCTTTAAAAACAACAAAGATATTTGAGGTGCAAACGTTGGGTGACTCGCCCTGTATAGTGTAGGTGCAGCTTTAACGGGTATTGATAGTTTTTCCAAAATGTATCTACTTTGGATCAGATGCCGATCGACAAATGAACACATCATCGTTAGAACGGCAGCGACCTGTCGATTGCACCTGGTCCAGACAGCACTATGAAGCCGCGCGTATACCAGTTCGGCCCTGCAAAAGCATTTCTGGTCCTGTTTGATGTCCAGGATCGGGTTCCACGGTCCGGATCAGGAGGGTTCACGGCTAAGGAGGCGGGTTGGCGGGGCGGTGGGGGAGAGAGCGTAGAGCTCGCTTTCTCGTATCCGTATAAGGCTGTGCATGCATTGTAATTTGTAATGCTGTTCGATGATCTCTTGAAAGTGCAACTTGCACGAAACCTTTAGGCCACCAATTCGAAACTGGCCGAAACATTCGGCCACGTTATGTGCCATCGGTAATTATCGCGAGGCGGTTGTTTCGCTCTACGGCCGTGTCGCTGTCCTTTTCTAACGTACACCATTTATGAGATGATGGTCTGCTCGACGGAATTCCTGAGACACCAACTGCTGGGACGTTATGAGTAGATGTTACTCGCATGTAACGCTTTCATTTGAGTGTTCCATTTCAAAACATCCTGTTTTGTACATCGTCTACATGTTCGAAATCTTAACAACATCGTGTTAACATTTTAAATTAAAATTCGGCAAAATGAACGGAGTTATGAAATCTTAACGTATGCGTAGCGCAAATGGAGACTGGAAATCTTTACAGCTTGCAACGCTACAGCACAAAATATTGAATACATATTCATCCAATATTAAAAAGAGATTCAATCTCTTTTTAATATTTAAATATACATACAATGTTTATTTCATACGACGAAAAAAATAAATATATATTCAATATTGGAAGCAAAATATTTTTTCCCAATATAAAATAAATATTTATTTAATATTAGAAGGAAAATATGTTTTTCCAAATATAGAAGAAATATTCATTTAATATTGGAAACAAAATATTTTTTTCCGAATATACAAGAAATATTTATATTTTATTATGAAAAAATATCTTTTTCCAAATATAGAGTAGATATTTATTTACTATTAGAAAGAAAATATTTTTTCTGAATAGACAAGAAATATTTGTTTCTACTCACTTTTCAATATTGATTATTGCTGATTTGATCTGAAATTTGGAGAAAAGTGAGATATAATAATTTAACACATACATGTGGTTCGAGTTTGTGCACGTGCGGAACACTTCTTTATAGTAAGAATTTTCACGGTCCGTGAAGTCGATCGGGGCTGGTCGCGGTAGTGTCGCGATCATGTGGATCAGCGGAGACGGTACACCTTTTGAACGTTTTCTATCCGTTAAAAAAAAACGGTCGGTGAAATCGAAAATTCGGGAAAGTTTCGGCCTGGCATTTTTAGGTATTTTTAGGTATTGGTGCACAGTGGGCCAAATGACGATTCTAACTGCAAAAAAAATCATATTTCGTAAACTAATGAAGATATGAACAAATTATTTCGAAAAAAGTTTTTTGGTACAGAGGTGCACATTACACAGTGTACACAATTTTTCCGTAGGTGCAATGGTGTGAACAATTTCAAGGTCACCTTCATTTTTTAATATAGACTGCCATACTTATTTATTTATAATATGATAGAACTTTTTTCGACGAATTCAACGAGATACAACATGATGTATTTCCATTTCACCGAAGATCGTAAATTAACGAGAACTGAACAACTTAGATCAACGCAACTTTTGTTGTACAATGTTATTTTGTATAACGTGTACGTTTCTTTGACCGTTGTTGAGCGGTGCTACTGTGGGCCATTCCATAAAATAGGTGGAATTGATTATAAAGAATGAAAGAAAGATTTCCTAAAACAAAAAATTGTCTCACAATTGTCTCAAATTGTGATAAACCTACATACACCAAAAAAAGTTACAACATTTTCAATCTAGTCCGATATATAAAAATCGAATATCTTTTTACGTGATAATGTAATAGTGAATTACGATTTTAATAGGAGGTGAAAATCCAAAGGTTTTTGAGAAAAACAGATGAATACCTGTACAATAAGAATCCATTGCTATTTAATAAAATATTCGCTTAGAAACAGAACGTGGTATGAACACTCGAGCCGTGAAAAAGACCGACTGATACATTGCGTCAAGAGACAGTCGACTAGCTAACTGTTTATAAAACAAATGCAATGATATGTAACGTCATTGAGGTTCGTAGCTTGTTCAGTGTTTTCCAAGCGAGTATAAGTTTACAAATAGTCCTAGTTTTAATTTATTTCATGACATGAACATTTTTCTATTAATTCCACCTATTTTATGGTAATGACCCACTGTGCGATGGGGTTAAAAGTGTTGTTTTCTACATTCCATTCCCATAGACGTGGGGTTGTTAACACATGAACAAGTACAAGCGCTGCGATTCTAAGTGCACTTGCTGTCCCACCCAGCGGGAGAGCGTTGCTATTATTGTTGCTGGAGCATTTATGAGCACGGACGCGCGTAAGAGAGGTTTTATGCGGACGATATCGAGTCTTGGCTGTCTATGACGAAAATTATTTTGACATCAAATTACATTAGTGTTTCAACACCA